CTGAGCACCTACAACGATTGGATCAAGTTTTGACGCGCCTTGCGGGCGCCGGGCTTCAAATAAACACTAAGAAATGCTCTTTTGCTAGCAAATCTATCAAGGTCTTAGGACACGTCGTTAGCAAAGATGGCATTCGGCCCGACCCTGACAAGATTTCTGCAGTCATTTACTTTCCGCGTCCCGAAAAACAAAAGGAGCTTCGCAATTGCTTTTGCCTCGCCTCCTATTTTCGCCGGTTTATCCAGAACTTCGCTTCTATTGCTGCTCCATTAGACCAATTACTTGCTTTTAACGTCCCCTTTCTGTGGTCTCAAGAATGTCAAACGGTATTCGACGTGCTGAAACGGGCACTCACGTCTCAACCTCTGCGCTGCCACCTTGACGAAGCCGCACCGACTATCCTCCATACCGACGCTAGCAGCCTTGGTATAGAAGCCGTTCTTCTACAATGCGACAAGTCTTCCCTCGAGAAAGTTGTTGCATATGCCAGTCGCGTACTCACCCCTGCCGACAAGAACTACACTGTAACGGAGCAAGAGTGTTTGGCTGTGGTTTGGTCGGTTCAGAAGTTCCGTCCTTATTTTCACAGCCGTCACTTCACAATCGTCACGGACCACCATGCCTTATGCTGGCTTTCTACACTGAAGAACTTGTCCGGACGCTTAGGTCGGTGGATACTGCGCTTGCAGGAGTACGACTTTGACATAACTTACAAGTCAGGCAGAAAACATCATGACTCCGACGCTTTATCTCGTTGCCCGCTTCCAACTACTCATATCAGCGTTGGTGAGAACTCAACCGCCACATCTACCAAAGTTCATACGCTCGCATCAATAAGGCAACCCTCTTCGGACGACGAGCCAACATTTACTTCACACCAGCGGTCCGATTCATACTGCAGACGCATGATGGACCACCTTTCAGGATTTTCTCATCCACGCAACGCGCGACTCCGTCGTCAACTCTTGCACTTTAAGCTGGACAATGGGGTTCTCTACCGCCATGTCTATCACCCTGACGGTCAGCGCTGAATTCCTGTACTGCCACGCTCTCTTCGACTTCAGGTGCTCGAAGCCTTCCACGACGACTTGACTGCTGGTCATGTTGGTTTTAAAAAACTCTTGACCGTATTCGATGTCGTTATTACTGGCCTGGCCTTTCTTCTAGTGTAGCGCGGCACGTCGGCTCCTGCTACCCATGCCAGCGTCGTAAACTCCACAGGTCTGCACCTTCTGGACCTCTATAGCCATTTCCGTGCCCTTTATCGCCGTTCGAGGTTGTAGGTGTTGACCTTTACGGGCCTCTCCCCGTCACATCTGCTGGCAAACGATGAATAGTGACCGCCGTGGACCACCTGACACGCACGCTGAGTCTTCTTCTGTTATTACAGGCTCAACTGTGGAAGTTGCAGACTTCATTCTTCACGCAATAATACTGCGTCATGGGGCTCCTCGTGTACTGCTTAGTGACTGCGGCAAATTGTTTCTGTCACAAATGGTAAATGTAGTACTGCGCGCTCCTGGAACTACTCGCAAGACAGCTTCAAGCTACTACCCTCAGACAAATGGTCTCACAGAAAGATTTCACCGAACCCTTGCTGACATGATAGCCGTTTACGTCCAGCCCTACCACAAAAACTGGGATACTCTTTTACCGTTCCTGACATTCGCTTACAACACCGTCGTTCAGCGAACAACTTGCTACTCATCATTTTACCTCGTGTACGGACGCACCCCCACTACCTTTCTTGACGTCCCCTTCTTTAACAGCCATGGGAATTCATGTCAGTCTTAAAGCGAAGAATACATTTCCCGCCTGGCCCAGTCTCTGCGATCAGGCTCGCATCAATACTGAAGCGAGACAGCACGAGCGGAAAATCATCTATGATGAATCCCACCGCGTTGTGTCTTTCCAACCTGGTGAAGAGGTGCTGCTTTTGACGCCTATTCGCACTCCTGGTCTTTGTAACGAATTCCAACTACGCATCACCGGGCCATACATTGTTTTAGAACAGACTTAGCCAGTTAATTATCGTGTCACACCACTCGTCGCCCCAACAGACCACCACTATCACAGCAGAGAGATTGTCCACATTTGTCGCATGAAACCTTTCACGCGACGTTCCCCGTCACTTTGACTTACGGCGGCCAGGGTGTCCGCTTCCAAGTGGGGGGAAGTGGTGTGGGCATTTTTTATTTCCATCGTCATCATCCCTGCATGATCACCATCACCATCATACGCTTGTCTCTTTGTCCTCATTGCCACACTGGGTCATCATCATCGCCATCGTCTGTGTACTAGCTCTGCCCGTTTGTTTTGCGAGGTCTTTCCTCAAATAAACGCTGACGCAGCCAAGACTACCAAGTCTTCATAATATATATATCTTGGAAGATCTGGGAAGAAGCATCAAGATGCTGATGCTCTATGGCGCTGTCCTTTGCCCAGCGGAAGCCACTCACCATCGATACTTCGAAACGACCGCACTTCTCCAATCGCAGCGCTAAGTTCATCACCTGCAACCCTATCCGTCCTTGTTTCACAACAACATGTCGGCCCATACTGCCGCACCATTGTTGACCGCTTGACCGGCTCTACTACTCCTCCAAACCCCAGACTCCGTCGACAACTTAAACAATTTAAGCTTGTCGGTGATACTTTATGTCGCTACATTTACCACATAGATGGCAACAAGTGGGTACTCGTCATCCCACGTTCTCTGCAACGTGAAGTTCTGGAAGCCTTTCATGATGATCCAACCGCCGCTCATCTAGGCTATCACAAGACTTACGACAAAATACGAAGTCGTTGTTTTTGGGTTGGCCTCTCTTCAACCGTCGCTAAGTACGTCGCCTCCTGTATCCATTGCCAACGGCGAAAACGACCGACTACTGCTCCGGCTGGCTTAATGCAACCTCTTCCTTGCCCCGCCTCGCCTTTTGATGTCGTTGGAATCGACTTGTATGACCCTCTTTTTATATCATCCAATGGGAATCGCTGGATTGTCACGGCCGTCGACCACTTTACCCGCTACGCAGAAACAGCTTCTGTACCATCTGGGACTGCCAAAGAGATCGCCGACTTCTTTCTTCGCCACATCCTTTTGCGTCATGGAGTTGCACGCATTCTCCTCAGTGATCGTGGCAAAGTCTTCCTATCTTCTATTGTCGCGCAAGTTTTGCGTGCCTCGAACACTGTTCAAAAGACCACTTCTAGCTACCACGCGCAGACCAACGTATTGACTGAACGGTTTCATCGGACCCTATCGGCCATGATCGCCATGTATATTCACCCCAACCAAACGAACTGGGATGCAATTCTACCCTTCGTCACATTCGCCTGTAATACGGCTGCTCAACGCTCTACCGGCTTTTCTCCATTTTTTCTCGTCCATGGTCGCTCGCCGAGTTTCGCTCTGGATGTCTCTTTCCTTTCGGCCCCTGCACCCTCGACGGCTCCTTTCTCTGAAGAATTCCTATCTCGTCTCGCAAACTGCTGTGACCAGGCCCGTGTTAACACCGGCCTCTCTCAAGACACTCGAAAATCTCGCTACGACTCGTCTCGCCTGTTGTGAGTTTTTCCCCTGGTGACGAAGTTCTTCTATGGACTCCACTACGTGTCCCCGGCCTATGCGACAAATTCATCAGTCGCTTAATTGGGCCGTACACGGTGGTCGAACAGACATCTCCTGTCAATTACCGCGTTTCTCCTCTTAGCGCTAGTCCTGATCATCGTTGCCGAGGAACAGAGATAGTGCGCGTATCTCGCTTAAAGCCTTATGCGCGACGCATTTCATAATACTGTCAAGCGACCAGGCGGCCACTTTCACCGCTCGGGGGAATTAGTGTGAGCGCGACAAGCGAATGACTCTTTATTCTTTTTGATATCATCATCACCTGTACATCTTCTTCATCTGAAAATATCATCACCAGCGTGATTTAGCTCGAACCTGCTGAATAAACCGGTTCCTCACAATGTATATATATAAATATATATATATATATACAGGAAATTTTAATATTGGTCTGTAGTAGCTATACGTCGCTTCCGTGCCACCTTCATTAAACGGCTTTAGTGTAGGTGAAGTCGCAAATCGGTGATGGGGCTTAGTGGGATGTTTGCAAGGACGTAGTGGCAGTTTGCAAAGGTGCGACTTGGCGGCAAGGTGCAATAGTAGTACAGACTCATTAGTATTGGAGCTCGCCCCCTAACTACTTTTCAGCTGTTCAGTGAAATTTTACTTTGAGATGGTGCTAGAATTTAACGATCCCCTTAACAAACAACGGATTCAGTTGATATCTGTCGTAGCGACGTCTGCAACAAAATTTTTGATCTTTACTCGCATGTATACCTTAGGCGTCACCAAAAAGATAGAGTTGGCTTTTAACTCAGCCACAGAAACAACAGCAAAGCGATATATTCTCCAGAAATTAGTCATTCAAAAAACAGCAAAGCGGTATGTTCACCGGAAATTATTCTGTCAAAAAAAACTGCCAAGCGATATGATTGCCGGAAATTAATCGGGCATGCAGCCATTTCACAAAAGTGTGAAACGGCTTCTTACTCGCTCAGCCGTTCGAAAACGTTTGCTTATAGTGATGTTTTTTTCCTGCCTTGATTGCCTTCGTCTCCGTACGTGTTACTCGAAATAATGCATTATTGTTAGAAGAACCGTAATAGAGAGGATCTCGGAAATATATCACCGCACGTGCGACACCCCCCCCCCCCCACCTGCCAGTAACATATACGGTAACAAATACATGGGCTGTGCCCACTAGTGCAAATGCACCAGGATTGACATAGGTCTCTTTAAAGTGTTTTAATCTTCCTCTACTAATAAAGAAAACAAAATGGTGAAAACACTGTGGCATGGTCTGTGACAGAACATAATAGCGAAACAACACATGTATGATTAAGGTCGTACAGTCCGCAAATGAAAAAAAAAAACAGGTTTTCGAACGTTGCCCTATATATTACGGACACATTGCGCGAAGCACTACAGCTCGTTTGACCGCCGTTAAGAGGACAAAGAAGAACACGGTCGAGGCTCCAAAAGGAAGTAAGCATTTTTTTTGCTCATTTCCGCATAATGCAATGATAACATCTAACTTGGGACGACTCGCCTCTGATTGCATGCTTTAACCGTTTACGTACAAAACCTGGCCTAAATGTCGATAAACAGAATTCAATAATACTTGACTTAAGCGATTGAAAGAGTTCATGCTTCGTAAGAAACAATTCCGTTTCCTTCGGGCGCTAATTAGGATGGACTAAGTACAAGTACAAACACATATACGACAAGCGGAAGTTCTTTAAGGGCTCAGGAATGGCAAGAGCGACATTCATGAGGCGAAATTGTTTTGTTAGTGTAATTTCTCAGTACTGGATATCACCTAGTATTTATTAAAATATTTAATGATTTTACAATTATGCATATAGCGTAATCACGAAGAAAATTGCCGTTGCTTGCACTGGAGGCGCAAATTTAAGCGAGAACAGAAAAAGGTGACCAAGCTGGCCCAGGCCCTGCTCTTTTGTAAAAGTTAGTGATTTTTTTTACTTTTTTCCTTTTCCTTTTTCCATTTTGTCTTTGGTCAGGCGCGTTTTCGTCTCTTCAGTTTGTTTCGTTTTTTTTCTCAATCTTTCTACGGTTATGCATTTCACTTTCACCTTTTCTATCGTAGCCACTTGCTTGTTTTCATCGGCCAACAACACATCTCTTTTTCTCCATCTGTTTCTGTTTACATTTCGTTCTCTCCGTATCTATATTTCTTTTTATAATAAAATTCCCTTTATTGGGTCTTTTTCTTTCTACTTAAGCTTAAATGTGTAGTCTGCGTCATCACTTCTTTTTCCTACCTCTTGCTTCACTATACTGCAGAAGGTTATGATGTGCTGCTCTAGCGTGTCTACATAAGCGAGTTTACGACGTTCGTTTTCGAACTGTGGTACTTGGGTTCTTATGTTACCTGGCGAAAAATTTTTACCGTACACTTTCCCTCTTTCTCTTTTATTTTCTGTTTTTTTTCGCTCTCTTTTTGTACTACTTGTCTCGACCATCAGAGTTATTGTATACCGCGCTCAAGGTGGCATACGTGTTCTAGAAGCGAAACAGAGGACGAAAACACCTTGACACCGAACGGAACGATAAAGAGGGCACGCGCCAGTTCATGATGTTGATCCATCTCCCTTCGTGGGTGAGCGCCATCGAAAAGAGATTATGATATTTACCTTCATCGATTCTGGTCAACACTAGCGGACTTACAGCCGCCTTTAGCCGCTCCGCTTTAACAAAATAATGAACTCTCCCACTCTAATTACACACACAACTTGTTTGTCATTTAATTTAACTCAATAATGAATCACGCTTTTGATGTTCTTGCCAAAAACGGTGGGTAAATAACTCATCGAGAACTGCAGTGCCTACAGTAATATGAAAACTTCCTGCAACACGTAATACATATGTTCATTCAAGGTACATGAAAGCACACTCAATACTCACAACGTCCTATTCCCCCAAAAAGCAAAGCCACTTTCACTCCCAAATAATTGAAATCAACCGCGGAAAAAACATTTTGTGAACAAAAACATGGACACCTTGTCCAAAGAGAATAATTTGAGGTTAAAACCATTCTCGTGCCATGTAAAAAGTCATATGTGCACAAAACACATAATACCATCAGCCCATCAGAAATGAGACACACTTAAGCTAACAAAGAAAGTATTCAAGGTTATCAGATGAATGGCGGCCTTTTGAGGAGGGCATAAAACAAAGTAGCCTAAGAATCACGTAGATGTACAACTTAAAATACGCATTTATTTCCAACGTACCAGGGTTCAATGCTTAAAAAAGGTCTGAAGCGTTGTGTCTTCGTAATTTTGTTATGCAATTGAATTGCACAAAAGCATAGTGTTCTCACAAAGTGAACCTATAAAAGCGATATCAACAAATTGGAATGTCTTTTGAGTAAGAGCAAGCAGCTCGACACTTACAGGAAGCCACTTGAGCACACTGAGCACCAGGAAGAACGCATGCACGACCAGCTCGACACTCTGTGTGCGCTACACCAACGCGAAGAAAGACGCAAGAAAAGAACGCACAGGTATAAACAGCATTAGCGCCAACCACCACCTGCCACATTGTTTAGCCTTTTTGTTTAGGCAGAACGCTGCACCGCAGTACTACCATGACTATGATGACGAGGCCCATCAGTGCAGTGCTATCGTTAAAGAGAGGCGTCAGTAATAACACCGATGCAGCTATAGTGACGGGCTCTGTTACCGTAAAGCACTGACTATAGTGAGAGGGCCCGTCACTGTGGTGTAATGGTAAAAATGAGGGACCCGTTCCCGTAAGTTTGTGGTCATTTTAGACGCCACAATCTTTTTCTGCCAGTGGTGTATTGAGTTGATGCGCAGTTAGAGAAGGGGTTGTGCTGCAGGTCATTGATTCAATTGCCGTCTCAAGTAACCACGGATATCCGGTAAGCATACAACGGGACATACATTTCGGGTATCCTGGACATCCATGAAATGTCTAAGAATTTACAGTGTTCGTTCAATGAACGTACACTGTACGTCCAGATGTACAAAGGTAACAAATTTGTACGTTTGCTCAACATCCCTCTCTAGGACAGCAAACATAAACATTGACTGACCTGTCAGCTAGGTAAAACGAACTTGCCCATGCTTTAGCTATGCCAGCTACCAACTTACTCTTTCCGCAAACGTGGCTGTTTCAGAGAGGGAATTTACCTTCGTGTGGTCTATAGCATAAACATATACTTTGAGGCAGATGTACAACACGTACGAACCTACCCCGCTGGAGCACGACAGCAGATGACGGAGACCACGCCCTGTAGAGCCAAGTACACGTCAGGCGAGCATTTCAACTATTGCGAGACACAAGTGCCGTGACGACCATGGTAAGCTAGGGTTCCCCGATGCCCACGCCCCAATCCCCCAATCCTCCGCTTTGGAGGGTGAAGACAACCGCGTTCTGCTATGGAGTCCGCCATTACGATGCCTTCTTCGCAAGCCGTCAATAGCAATAATAACCAGCCAACGAGTGTTGCGCCACTGCATACAGAGTTCTTTTTAGTGGTATTACGTGTGGTGCTTAAACAACATGAGAAAAATACCAAGTTTTTCTATCGGAAGTGAGAAGGTCTTAGATTTCTAGTGCCTAGTCTTGATTTTTAAAGCAACATTAGCAGCTAGAGTTGCTCGCAACAGAAAAATACTGTCGACTTCAGCCACGTTAGCACCTTCAAATTGTCTCTTTTTAGACTAGTCAGTAAATATTTATGCAAGTTAAAAATGCGAAACACACGCACTTATGTCGCAAGACCTCTCATTGCGTCTGTGTGTTGTGTGCCTTCCAAAAAAGTGTAAAAACAGTTTGGCGTTTGCCACCCGGCTGAAAAAAATGAATGAAAAGCACGTGTTGTATTGAGAAAAGAGAAAAATCACAACATACCTAGGGAGTGAATGATGATGGGTGTGGCCAAGCGCTCATGCGTGGTTCCGTCCGTGCGTCCGTTTATGCGTTTGTCCGTTCCTTCGTACGTGCGTTCATCCGTCCGTCCATTCGTTCATCGATCCAGCATGCGCATGGAGCACAGCATAACACTGAGGGACAAACGCTTCGCGCCACTCATCATCAGTTGGGATGATGAGTGGGGTAAAACATACGTCCGTTCTCCTTCCGTCCGTCGGTTCTTGCTTACGTCATTTCGTGGATCTGTCTGTCTGTGTATCCGTATATCTGTCACACTAGAACGACATGTTGAGTGAGTTATACAAATAGGTGGTTATGAACCGGTCACATATATGCATGGACAAGTCCACGGCTTTAGAAGCTTTGCCCCTAAACTGTGATTGCGTACCATATTTCGACATACTGTTTTTGAATTATTCATTAGCTACCTCATTTACATACACACCCTGAAACGCACAGTATATTGCACAGGAGTGGCGATGTGCGCTTGTTGGTGATGCATTCGAAAGAAATTTATGTAGCCCGAGGCAAAAAACGGACACAGGAAGAAATAGACTGAGAGGACAGAGCGCTACTGGCAACAAAATGTTTATTTTCGACCTCCAAGCCGCTTTTAAGCCAGAATCGTAAGGCGAGCAAGCATATAAGCACGTGTAATTCGATATATGCACGACAATGTCATTTACCTACAAGAAAAACACGATAAATAAGACAACACAAAAACCTCAAGATAACATCATGTATCACTGCGTACGCAGGAACCCCAGTTCCTTGGGTGACAAAGCAATTGAAAGCTTGCTGATACATACATCTCCATGAGCATCAATATGTTCGGCTTCTGTTATCAACCGAGTCATCTCATCCTTATGCCGACCAAAAATAATTGTACTCTCGAACAAAGGCCAGCATCCACGCGCATGAATGTGAAGAGCGAGAAAACCTTCTGGTGGCAGTTTATTCGCCTTGTAATTGTGTTCTCTCAGTCGCCCATTCACACACTTACTGGTTTGTTACTGGTTTGGCCGGCATATTTTTTTCCACATGTGAACAAAATAAGGTAAATAACGAACGAAATGCACTCCGAAAATTTGTGTCTATGCCTTTTTGTGCACAACACCCTTTCCCTACGCGATGAATTCGTCAGCACACACAATTTCCCAAGTTTATTACGTACTGAAAATAACATCGTCATATTGTCCCGAAGTGCCACTTTATTTACGGTAAGTGACAGCTGGTGAACATATGGAATTATGGCCGTGCGTCTTGATTGTGCAGGTTCATCGACTTGAACATTAGATTGGCTTGAACTTCCACGAATTCTTTTCGACACTTTTTTCCGCAACTGACACTAAATTATGATCCGGATCGACCGATGCTTACAAACGTGTGATCCGAATATGGAAGCTCTGCTTCATGAGGTGCGCACGTGACTTGTCCATTGCGTTTTTGAGGCAAGTCGTCGCGATGGCTCTCTTGGTTTGTTTGGATTGACCGGAATGAATTGGGAGTAAAGCTTTCTGAGCACGCGGATCATAGCCCCAGCAGAGCTGGTTGTCAGA